AAAGCTAGTTGTAATAATATGACACCCCAGTTGTTGATATGAAGAATGTTGTTTACCACCATTAGAGCGTGTTGTCTTGAAGGCGAAGTTCACGGGCGGAAGCGTGCCAGTAGTCTTGTAATTGGATGTAGAAAGCAGTCACAACCAGAGCAACATTCCTTCAGCCAATTTGAACATTTACTGCTTCAGTTTGTAACACTTTTAGTAGCCTCAAATAAAATTGAATGTCTTATATCGAAATTTATTCTAACAATTATTTAGAAAATTTTGATGTCGACTTATAAATGAAAAATGGAGAATTAAGGTGTCTTTACACATTTTTACTCTCAAGAGTAAAAATCGCAGGTGTGAAGGCCATCGAGTTGCGATAATATCGATTTCGATAAATATTGATATTTATCGAAATCGATTTTTTCCTTTCAACATTCAATATATTTTTTTTGTTTCATTTATTTAATGAAGAGTAGTTAATTCAGTAATAAACATTTAATAAATGCTTTATTTATATATAAACTGCTACCGAAAAATGTTCATGCTAAACTTACGACATGATTAAATATCAATTTTATTTATTTTGTTTTGTTCTCTAAATATTTGACGATTTCCGCTTATTTTATAGTATAAAACTCAGTAGAGTGCTCGTTTGTAGTAAAGTAATAAATTAAAACATGTGTAGAAAATAGAATATGCTGTATCATCGCTAATACTGGTTCGATTTCGATGATTTTTCTTTTGTTTTGTTGGTAATTTAATTACCTTTCAAAAATCTTATTATAAATTTTTTCGTATAATATACACTTAGCGAGTTAGTTCCCAAAATATTTTTCTTTTCTTTATAACTTTTTTCATGAATTTTCTCGAGAATTTAGTCCATATACGAAAATTGAAAAGAAAATCAGAACATTATAGAAAAGTTTTTTTCAAAATTGTTAGAGCCGTTTTCGCGCAACAGTCTATAGCAAAATATGTTTTTCATTTATTGCGCGCAAGCTATTGTGCATGGAGCACCGAATTTCCGTCACAGGCATCAGTAGTACAAATCCTACAAAATCAGTTTAGTAATTCCTGAGAAAATTTTGGCACAGACAGACAGACCAATGGCTAAAAATTTATTTTTTGGACTCAGGTAGCTCTGAAACGTATAGATCCGTCGAAAACCGCATATCGGAAATTTGACCCAATCGCAATACTTTCCTTACCTAGTATAAGTAGGAAAGTAAAAAAGGTTGATTGAACTTCGATTAGGAGAGAAAAAATGGTGTATTATAATTATAAAGAACAAAGTTATTACATTTTTCATATAAAAAATTTAAATTGTATTTACAATAAATGTAATTTTTTTTTTTAATTTTATTCTTTGGTTGTTTTTGTTTTTCTTTGCGAATTGATACAAAAAAAAAATAGATTAGAAATAAGCGACTGAATTAATACTATTCTTCCCGGCTTGAATTTTTAATTAAGTGAACCTGAACACAAGCAAAGAATGATTGCGGTAATAAAATATGACATATTGGAATCTTTCATCGCTAAGCAGGCAACGTGCACATCGAATTTATGGTTATAAATATACATGATTAGGAGAAGGCGGTAGGTAGAGCCACCGTCAAGGTTCCGACGTCATAAATGTTTAATTGAGGCCTATAATAATTTTAAATACAATGAGCAGGAACCTCCTCTGGAATCTCAAGACGGCATTGGGTTTCTTTCAAGGAGTGTTACTTACTTTATGGAAAGGCAGCCATTAAAGCTTTTAGCGGTCCTGTATTGACTCCAGGCGTTTGGGATCCGTTTAGGATAATTACGTCTCGGAATTCCATTCATTCATCCGTCTATTGAAATTAATCAGAGTGCAATAATTTCGAGGCCAGACTCTCAAATTATATTAGATTAAGGTCTTTTAAAAAAAATTCTAAACACCGGCACTCACACCTTTCATTTAATTATTAGTCTAGACTTAATTTTCAACTGTCCATTAAGCTTCAGGGAAATTAGATGTTTTTTCAGAGCTCATATTTCATCATTTTGCTTGTCTGATTTTTAATCTAGTACTCGAGAAGGCCATAAGAAACACTGAGACCCAGACATCTGGTCCCTTAATAAAATATTTCTTACGACTCCTCGGATATGCTGACGACATTGATATTTTAGGGAAGTAATTAGAGGTTGTTAGGAATGCATTTATAGCACTAAAGTTGAGTAAAAATACCTTAATGTGAATCTCATATTCCCGAGTCAGATAACAGATGTACAGTAAGATTTTGGTACTGGGTGGGTAACTTTGGGACAGCAGGTAAAATTTAGTTTGCGGTGATTCCATGGTGGATAGACTGTGTTGGTTCAGTCTGCAAAAACGTACTTTGTGAAGACATGTACTGCGCTACTACCTTGAGGACCCTAGTTCACTACATTCGTTGTGCAGTTTTATTTATTTCCATTGTTTTGTTCGAAATTCTTGTTTTCATGAAACTTTCGCTTGTGCCTCAAGGTTACTACAGCGCAGTACATGTGCTGTCCATGCTGACTGAGCTGGTGAACACTGAACACGGTGTATTCACCATGGAATCACCACAAACTAAATTTTACCCGCTGTCCTAAAGTTACCCACCCAATCCCAAAGTTATTCCATCTTACGGTAATTGGAAAAGTAATTGGGGAAGGAAATTGAAAAGGATGAAGAGTTTATATACGTTGGATCACAGATGAACAAAATGAATTATATTAAATGAAATGAAATGAAAAATAATTTTATTGTGGGACTGAAGTCCCCTTAGAATAATAGTAGAGTTTAAAAAATATGTACCTTAGTCTGGCATGTAAGTATCATACAAATATATAAAAAAAAAATACAAAGGAAAATATAAATATCTACAAAACATACTAACGATAGACACAGATGTATACAATAAATACTGAGATATAAAAAAAATAATAAATAAAAATAAAATGACTTCTATCAAATAACTGCTGGTGACCAACGTAATTATATAACCCAGAAATTTTTACAAGCTTGCGGAAGTTTGAATTTGTAGTAGGTGGTGGAATAGAAGTTGTTTGAATGAGTTTATGGACATGGTTTAACGTATGGAGATGGGTATGGAGTTCCATAAGGAGGAAGCCCGAATGACAAAGGATTTACTGAAGGAAGTGGTTTTATGGGAAGGGATAGAGATAAAGTAAGGAGTTCTAAGATGTGGGGAGGGTTTTTGATTCTGAGAAAGCCCAAACCCCAAATTCTGAAAAAGAAAAACACCAAGAAGGAATTTCCGTCGGGCAGTAGGATATAGCCACTTCAACTCGGTGTACCAACAAGAAATATAAGAACGCTTGGGAATTCCAAATTGGTGCGGAAATCGAAAGAATAGTAGCCACAAACCGGTGGTATTTTGCGATAAGATAATACATCGATGTAATCCAACGAATCAAGGCTACGCTGGGCTGGACGAAGTGAGAGATTCCTGCCAAAGTGTTCCGTCACAAGGAAGAGTATAGCTTTGCTTGAAGAAATGTATTGCTGAATATGGGAAAATTTTCGAAATAAAAATTACTTTTTTTATTTTTTAAAGTTAATAACGAGGCTAACAAAAATTCTAGGATAGGATCTGGAATGAACCAACCAGACATTCCTCTTGGCACATATGCAGCTAAACGAATAGTAAAATGAACCCACCAAAGTATGCTAAAACAGAAATATGTCTAAAATAATCGAAAGGACGCGATGGAATGGATTGCTGAAAGAAAGTGGCTGATCCGAAAAGGCCTCTCAAGAGAACAATCCGCCATATGCTTTAGAATGCTCACAGACATGATTTCCTGCAGAAGCACTTCCACAGCATAGGTATAACGGATAGTCCCACATGTTTCTGTGCTCTTTAGATGGTATGACTCGAAAAAATCTCGACACATCCCTGCATTACAGAAAATAAGATGCGATTTAAAACTGACAATCCTTTTCCTTGGAGAGCGAAATTATATTGGGCCGCTAGATTACGCATGGCTAACTAGCAAGAGTTATTAAAGGTAGGAAAACAAACTTTTTTTTTTTTCAATTTACATATATGGATTCGGTATAAATATAAATGCAAAAAAACAAAGTAAGGTATATTTGGAGAAATGAAGAAGTATTACATACCAATTACAATGGAGTGCATGGATTTATACCTATATCTGGGTACAACTATCAGTAGAGATACTCGCATTAAATATCAATGCCCTCGTAATCATGATCAGTGTATTCGTAGTCGTCGATTATGATTACTGTATTTGTAATCATTGATTACGATTTGGCCCATCTATGGCGTCATCTCAGGTAGTTGGGACTAAAATTGAAAATTTCAGATTCCTGTAAGACAAAATGATATATGGATGCGAAACCACACAGACGAAAACCGTGGTCTTTTTAGCATTCTGGTCTAGGAAATCACATGGGCAGTAGCGGATTCAGGATTTAATTCTGTGAACTTTATACTGTTCAAGCGGTCCTTTAAGGTAAAAAAAAAATAAAATAAAAACCATAATAACAGGAATAATAATTCTTTTATATTTTATTTATTTATATTTTAATGAATCTTAAATATTTTCTTTATACCTGTTTACATTTAGTAGTTTTATAGGCCTTATAAAAAAGAATATATTGCGATTTCTTAACTGATTATAAATAAATAAGAATAAATTTTCTAATATTTATTTTTCATGAATTTATGATTTATCAGTAGACCTATTGAGATCATTGTGCATGTGAAGCGATTTTAAATAAACTAATGTATGTTAAAAAGTTTTCATAACATTTATATTTAAATTTACGCACACATTTTCTATTTTTTGGACGAATTGTGCTGAATCATTTTTTTTTTTATGTTCAGACTGTAACGTCCCAGTCCGAAATTATGTGCCCTATATTTTATTGAAGTAATAGTATTATGGAGATTGGAATGCAAAGTTATGATACCGAAACGTATTTGGGAAGATAAGATTGTCTATGCCTTATTTCTTTCTTGTTGCAGATATGTTTGATGTTGGTGGGTTTGTGCGCTGCGTTCCCTCAGGTTCCTCCCCTCTACCCGGCAGGAGTCGATCCCAGGCTGTGCCCCAGCTATCCTCAATGTGACAACAAGATCTTAGCAGAATACGCCAAAAATCCACTGCCGTTTCAACAGAAATTGTAAGATTTCAAGATTTCGTAAGTTAGATTTAAAAGGAGGATAAGAATTCGAGGTTCCTATTGGCGGCAATATTCTATTACTGGAAAAGATTCAAAGCGAAATAGAGGAAAATGTTCATCAAGAACACCTGCTTCTTAGTCTGACTTCTATTGTTGTGAACATTTAAAGAAAACGTCAAAAATCATTGAAGTCTAATAAACATTTCTATATATAATACAGTATTTTTCGCAGTATGGATCCCTTTTCCAGATCTTAGGAGCGATGGATTTTGATTTTCGAATGTCGCAAAAAGTATGATAAACTTAATATGACTCCGCCTATCCAAAACAAAATAAGCAGGAATTTAGGACTACATAAGCTACACGAAATGACACAAACCGGATCTCTGTAAAGATATAAACATATTAGATAAACATATTAGCTCTTGAGATATAAAATAAAAACGTGTGATGAATTTTTATTTATTTATTCCTTTCTGAGGCGTTAAACCTAAACATTATTGATATGGTTTTGAAGACAAATAATTCAGCTTTCCAACTGATATAGTAACATTGAATTAGGAAAAAATCCTGAGGAGTTATCGATGTTTCATTAAATGAAAAAATAAATTAACGAAAACTTAAATTGTTACCATGGTAACAGCATTATTTATCTTTATATATAATGCGAAATTTTTTCAAAATGTAGATCCCTTTTCCGGCACTCATGAATTATCCTCCCGAAATTTCAGGAAAAAAATTTATTAAGAAACATTATCGGCGAATAACTCAAAACGTATACATTGTGCTTCAATGTCGAAAATGTAATATTATTCTACATTTTATCCACCCAAACTATTTCTATAATAAAATAGATTAAACAGGAATTAACTTCAGTTTATTTATTCTTTTTTAATGGAGTATAAAAAAACTCAATATTTTTTTCAACTTAAATTTATTATTTAAGATACTTAACTTAACAAAGATATTGTTCTTTTCTGTTCAAATTATTAAACATTAATCCCACTCAAGTTTCGATATTCTGTGGATTGTTTTGTTTTTGTAAATTCAACTCATTTTAACAAAACCTGCCTTATCCTACACATTTTTTTTTTTTTTTTTTTTACAAAATGGATCTGTTTTTGTTTTTAGGAAAAACGGAGACATCGACCACTTCTTCTTCAGTGCCCCAGGATACCCAGTGGGCCTGTCCCCAATACAGTGCCCTAACTACCCCTTCTGTCATTAAGGGCAAGAGGACCACGATTCGCTAGTCAATGGATGTCGATCCGCCAGTCAAAGGAATATCCATCTTGATTCTCTAAATATAGTCTTAAGCAAAAGGAAGCAATAAAAAAAAAATATAATAACTATGTACATAATATAATCAATCGGAAAAAAAAAAATTAAAATAAGTTATGTAAATAGCTTATGAACAATAATTCATCTTAAACAACACTATTTTAATACTTTAATCGAAATATTTGTGTATCGATAATTATATAGGTTAGATTTATTGTGATGACTAGTCTATATCATATAAACAATTGAATGCGTGAAATATGAATTTGAATTCATGACTATTTTATACGAATTATTAATTATATATGATATTAAAAGAGATACAATTAGGAATGAAATCGAAGATATCATTATATAGTCTTTAATTGTTATTATTTGTTAATCTTTTTATATGTAAATAAAGCATTTTATTACTTTTTTACTGTAATTTTAAAGTACCACATCCTTAATTAAGAAATTTATTTATTTATACTTGCTATATCTGTAACCCGGAGGTAAAAAATACCATGTTAATTTTTGTAATTGTACAGAGAAGCCTGTGTTCCATAACTTTGAGCTATTAAAATTTTCGTTCTTAGTTACTAATTCTGTCCTCTGGAGGTAAAAGACATTATTAAGCCACTCACTATTGCGCATCAGATCAGCGCCATCTGTTCGTGAGGAGGAACAACAACTCTGTAATACACCTCTGCAAGTCTGAGTCTGATAGTGTCTACAAAATGGTCTCCAAGCATTCTCAAGATGTCTAGCTAGACCAATCCAAAGGAGTGACCAGGATAGGAAGACAGAAGAGGCGTCATAGATGTCAAAGATGCCAGGACATGACACAACATTCAGAGATGTCTGCAGGCCAAACCACACGACTCGATCCAGATGTATTTGCAGAGAGGGAGCGGAGTGGCCGAATGGGCTAACGCTTATGCACAGCACCGCGAGTTGTCCGGCAACCAGATAAACAAAATGGGAGATTATAAAAAGAACGAACTAGCGTCCCGATGCCGGAGGAGATTTTAAATTCCCCGCCCTCACCCCCCGGCCCGGGAAAACCCCATATAGCCTAAAAAAGGCGATTTAGGAAAGAACAAAAATAAATAAATAAAAAGATGTATTTGCAGAAGCCATATATGGGTGAATTCAGGATCGTCGATCCACCAGCCAGAATCTACATTTATCTGGTCAGCCCATTATCAACAAATACATACTAACGCATTAATCACAATGTACATTATAACCTTAAATATATTTCCTGTAGTTTAATAACTCTAGATCTGATATTATATTTAAATCATTAAATATTTATCGTCCTTTTATTCCGAAAAATCTTCATATAACCTTTTAGAAAATTAAATTAGTGAATATTTTGATAAATTTTCCCTCTGCGATATTCCAACAGAATCCACTTACAATTAGTGCGACAACTTTTGACCTGTCTATGACAGACCATGCAAATCTCTTAATTCCGTTTTAATAAACTTTGCAATGGAAAATAACAGTTTAATAACTAATAATAGTAGTCATACAATCCATAATCAACGGATCGAACAATACATAATTAACGAATCGTACAATCCATAATCAACCGGTAGTATAATAAATAGGACTTTTGTTATTTTAATTGTATTTATGATTTGTTAGCTGCAATCATTTAGCTTTAGCTCAGTTAAAAATGAAATTCAAAAATTTTATAATAAACATGGCCAGAAAAGTAATTTATAGTCAAAGTTGAGCTAAGTTCAAAGAGTAAGTGAAAGTTGTGTGTTGCGCGCACCAGATTTTTAAACTTAATTTCTATAAGTTAATAAGTAACTAATGAAAATCAGCTGGTCTGCTTTCGGGAAGAATACTTGTAGTGGCGTTTTATATACATAATATATATATATATATATATATATATATATATATATATATATATATATATATATATATATTGAATTTTTTCAATATAATCATGGCGTTGAGTGGCGTGAGTTAGGTTTCTAGAATATGACACCTTTGATTAATTCAAGGGGAACATAAGAGTTTTTTGTAATTTTTTTTCTTGTAATAGATTATGCAAAGCTATTAAATGATGTTAAAGCTGCCTTCATTTTTGAAATAAGGATGTTTCCTTCAAATGATTTACGTCTTGATACATAATAAGTTCCTTCATTTTGAGCGTTGTTTCAATCTAATTTGAACGAAATATCGACCCCTGGAAATATTAATAAAGATTGGATTTCTGATAAGGTGCAAAAAGTTTATAATGTAAACGGCGTACGAATAATTCATCTTATATAAGCAGTTTGGAGAGGATTAATGTAATCAAAAAGAGAATTGTTTTCCGAGCAAGGCTGTATATTTGAAATACTAACATGAGCTTGTGAGTAGCCAGGAATGATTAATAGCATTCCATACGAAAGGTAATTATACGACCATTTTTCCTATCCAACTGCCCAGCCAGGAAACGGACCAATAACATTTAAAAACAAATATGTCTAAATTGTATAGCTCAACATCATCAATATTGTTACGACGACTGTAATATTGATAATTACATGTATATTGAGGGGTGGCGCACATTTACATACGTGATAAATTAACATCGCTGATTGGTATACATCGAATGGTCAAGGTCTGTGCCGATTGTGTATTGTTGGATCTGTCAGCGAGCTACACAAGGTCATTAACACTGACAAATGACTGATAAACATTATATTTATTAAATTTAAATGTCAATCAATTGCGCTAATGTCATTCCTTATATGTATAGAAATATTAGATAGATAGAAAATGGACCTTTTTTGGGACGAGGTACCTTATGAATAACAGTTATGAACAAAAAAATAAAAACTACATCTGGACAAAAATTTCATTAATCAATATTAAAGAATATATACAGTATCTTCAGTAATAGTATATTAAAACAAATAAAAAATAACACCATTTTGAAAAAAACGAACATTATTTAAATGAAAAAATAATATAAGCATGGGTTGATTTTTAAAATTAAAACTGAAACTATTTCAACAACCATTCACCTCAGTCAAAATCACAATATTTATTTCATTGTACAACTTCATTTTGGGATGTGAGAAGGAATTGGTAGATATTTAAATGAGGACAAGGAAAAAGCATGGCGGATATCAGATGGCAAGGAATTCCATAAGGCAGTGGATCGGACAATAAAGTAATATTCAAATGTTTTAGTTCTATGGGAAGGGATATAAAGGTCGAAAACACGGGATCTTGTTTTTTAGGGGTGGACCACGGGTTTGAACTGTAGGAGACTGTAGATGTAGGAGGGGTGTCGGTATTGATTGTTTGGAATAGGAAAGATCCAAAGAAATATTGTCTGCGGAAAGAAGGGAAGAGCCACTTAACTCGTCGTAAAGGTTGGACATATGAGATCACCTCTAAGTACCGAAGACAAATCTTAAGCAGGAATTCATGAGTCGCTTCAATCTATCCTCGAGTACCATCGGGATGCCTCCGTACACCACACAGCCGTAGTCAAAGTGGGAAAAAATAAAGAGGATTATGTGAGGGATACGGTAGCAAGTTTATCATTTCGATTAAAACATTTAAATTTTACCTTTAGTGAGTTTAGTTTAATGTTGGTTCAGGATTGGTTGATCCAGTATGTATCATTTTCATCAAATTCTAGCCACTACTTTCGAAAAATTATTTTTGACACGCCTTTAATTTGAAAACGGCTCATTCAATGTGGCCCAAATTCGGACAAAAATTTCGATTTTGAGAATTTTAATTTGGAAAAATTAAAAAATCCATCAATTAGAAACCAATTCGAGCTAGATGTTAAGAATAAGTTTGAAACTTTAGAGCTTCCTGACGAGAACCACGAGGATATTGACAAGTTATGGGTAGAGATCAGGGATAATATTAAAGCGGTCGGTAACTCGTGTCTAGGAAAAAAGGAAAATAAGAATAACAAACCGTGGTTTGATGAAGATTGCTTAAACATGTGCGAAAAAAAAAAAGCAGCTAAATTAAAAGCTCTAAATAATCCTAACGAAGATAATCTGGAATACTTCCGAACCTCAAAGAACGAAACGACAAAATTGCTCAAAAATAAAAAAAGGGAGTATCTTAAAAATAAAATAATTGAAATAGAAACTAATAGAATCGAAAATAACGTAAGAGACATGTACAAAGGTATAAACAGAACACGTAAATGTGTAGGGCTGGAATTAGGGATGATAATAATAATATTCTAACCAATCCGGTTGACATATTGAATAAGTTTAAGGACCATTTTGACAATATTTTAAATACTGGAAATTATGATCTGTATCCTCCTTCTGAACCGTTAAGAGAAGGACCAAGTAAAGAGGAAGTTGGAGTAGCTATCGGAAAATTAAAATCATATAAAGCAGCGGGAACCGATAATATTCCTACTGAACTAATTAAGGCATGCGGGGAAGCTGGAGTTTTTAAAATATATACGGTTGGTTAAAAAGATCTGGGTGAACGAGAAATTACCTGGAGAATGGAAAGAATCTATTCTTATTCCGATTCACAAAAAGGGGCCGAGGACGGATTGTAATAACTACCGAGGAATTTCACTCCTTCCGGTATGTTATAAAATATTCACTTTAATCTTAACCAGTCGAATCACGGAATACGCCGAGGAAATTATCGGAGACTACCAATGCGGATTTAGACGGAATCGTTCGACTATTGATCAAATATTTTCTTTACGGCAAATATTAGAGAAAAAATTGGAGTACAACGGTATTGTTCACCAGCTGTATATAGATTTTAAAAAGGCTTACGATTCTATTGACCGCCAGAAACTGTATAATATTCTAATCGAGCAGGGGATTCCAAAAAAACTAGTAAATCTAGTCAGGATGTGCTTGACGGAGACACTCAATAAAGTTAGAATCGGTAATAATTTGTCCGAAAAATTTGAGGTTCGTTCGGGTTTAAAACAAGGGGATTCCCTTTCGCCTGTCCTGTTCAATTTGGCATTAGAACATGCCATTAGGGAGGTAATGCGT